AGATCTAAGAATTTTTTATTTTGAAGGCATAAACATTTTAATATCATTTAAAATTTTATAAAAAGCCAGTAAATAAAGACCATAAATTTGTAAAAAGACATTAATTTAAGAATTTACTATGCTTTCATGGTTCAACATCCTGATTCGGAAGTTCACATCACGTGACTTTAAGTGATCTCATCTTGTGTAAACTACACTACAAAATCTAATTCTCTTCGTAATTATCTACATTAATTTGAAGTTAAATCTTAATTTGGAATGCAAGAATTATTTCAATTCGTACGAATAACTTACTCACAAATTATGTAAAACCATAGTGCTTTACTTTGCTAATGCATTCTCATTCTAATTGATGAATTTAACTTTTGACTTTGCCTTTTCTATATTTTCGCCTTCGGGTGAGCGGTGTGATTGCATCCTAATTGACTTAATTACCGCAAATAGCCTTAGAGCCTGTCTGATAAAAATTCTATGTAATTGTATGCCAGTATTGAAAGAAACAAACAATCTGAAAAGAAATGGCTGCGACTTGTTTTGAAAATTAGGCATAAAAGGTTATCAGCCAGGATATTCCGTTTGGCATCGGTTGTGCCATTTTTGGCGAATTTATCGCCTGCACCGGCAAAATGGAAAAGTACTGAAATTAGAAATTTACTTAAGGTTTAAAATATCTTTTACTAAAATTAAGAGATCTAACTAAATGGTAAATATTTGTGAGTGTTACTTTAGCTTTAATATAGGCAAATTAGTTAAGAACAATTAAACGTAAGCAAGATTTAGTACTTAAGAAAATTTTAAACATAAGGTTTAGCACAATTTTGATTTCAGTTAAATAAATACTGGATTAAAAATATGATTTTTAAAAGTTTCATCTTGTTATTGATTTCTTAAAATTACATTTTATGAATAATTCATTAAATATTTTACATAGAGTAGCACATTTTGCATAGTGTAACAAAGCCATAAATCTGAAAGTTTGATGCTTGAGTATTCTTAAACTGTATTTCTTGTTCTTGTCGCCATCCAAATTGTGCAATATTGAAATATTGAAATTCTTAATTTGTAAAATTGTAAAATCTTTGTTGACCTTTCTTATTCTTTCTCAGATTATCATCTCAATTTTTTTTTTTAAAAATGTTTGGATAAAATCACTAAATACTAATTTAGAATTCTCTGCTTTCAACCAAATGGACTGACCGGCTAGTTTTCTGGATTTTGGACTGTAAATGGTTACCTTGTTGCATTTAAAAAAAAATTTCAATGAAAATATCCACTCTAAAACAAATATTCATTTCGTAATTTGTTGAGCTTTACTGTCTAAATATCCTTAATAAATTTTCTGAACAAAGTTGCAGCATCATATGCTGATCTGTTTCCATAATAATAATTATATAACAATAGGAAAATTTCTAATTGATCCAAAACAATATTTGTACAAGGAGTACACTTATTCATTTCTTGAAAGAGAAAACTATTCTAGAAACTAGTCTAGAAAAATCTATTAAGTATACACAGTGAATCTCAGATACGAGGCTTTAGCTGTATTATGAACAAATTCGGCTTTTTAAATAAATAAATGAATAAACAATTAAAATTTATAATAAGACATACACAATTTTGTCAGTTTTGCTTAATAATCTTTTAGATAATCGCTCAGAACCAAAATACAGATAATTAAATCGAGATTAAACTTAAAACTCTTCTACACCTTCTCTTTTCAAAAATCTGAAGAAAATTTTTAAAAAATGCTATGTAATTGTATGCCAGTATTGAAAGAAACAATCAATCTGATAAGAAATGGCTGCAATTTGTTTTGATAATGACGCATAAAAGATTACCAGCAAGGATATTCCATTTGGTATCAGTTGCACCATTATTGGCGACTTTATCGCTTGTGCCGGCAAAACGGAAAAGTACCAAATATTGTAATGATATCAAAATTTCTTACTTTCTGAAAGGTAATCCAAACATGAAACAAGAAAGGAAAAAATTAAAATCTAGAAGTATATTTATTTGATAGCTCTACGAAATAAAAAATCTGATGTGTACACCACGACTTCCTTATACGGAATATTAAATTATACGCATTTTTCTTGCATTTCATAAACTTACTGGATGAATTATATTTATTTTGTCGATAGTGCATAAACCACAATAGAATAAATACACTCTTTAACATTCACTATATTTGATTACCATAGTGACACTCTGGCCCTAGGTTCACTTGACAGCATTACATTTCATTCGTATTTTGCTCAGAATGCACAAAATTTATATCATCTTAAGAATTATCTAATCGTTGCTACATATTCTATTCAAATCTAAAACGATGTATAAAAGAAATTAAGCAAACAACAACAATAAAAAAGAAAAAGAAAGAAAGAAACAGTTTTTTACAGACAATTCAGTATTTCTCATTCAATTAATTCAGTTTTCACTTCACGACAAGGCAAAAATACATAAAAACTCAAAATATCTGTATTGAAAATTATGAAGTAAATCTTAAAAACTTATTTCCTTGAATAAATTCCAGAATGAATTAAGCATGATTTAAATCTTAATAATAAAAGAAGCCGTGATCTTTGTTTTTGCAAAGCTTACTTTCTCTAAATTGGCAACAAATCTACTATTCTGCTGTTTCAAACGTAAACAAATATTGCCGACTTTGTACTGTACTTCGAAACTACGACTCGAATTATTCCAAACTGCCAAGTTTTGTAAAAAATCGCACTAGTAGTATTTTAAAAATTAACTCTCAAAATTTTAGCCCCTCAATGTTAATTGAATTTTGAATATATATTCCTCTTTTTTTTATTAAACTTATTTGGTTCTTCCTGGCACATTTCGAAATTTAGAATCATTCCAAATAAAATTTGCCCATTTTTTATGATTTATTTTTTAAAATTTGTATTTTATGTAATTTTTTTGAAAAAATGTTGAATTATAATCTACAATATTTTTATATTCATCTTAAAATAGATCTATTTCTAAGCATACCTGCAAAAAATTAAGAGTTTTTTTATTCAAAATTTCCGAGGATATACGTGAATTAATATATTGGCGCATTTTGAAATTTGGCATATTTGAGGAAAGGGAAAATAACATCAGATGTGGTTTAGGCACTTTGTCAAAATGACTGAAAGTATGAACGATGTGTCTTTTTTTCCAATCATGCACAATGTAAAAAGGGAAAGGAAAATAGGTTGCCTTATATTAAGAAGTTTGCCAAGTGAATTATTCTTGTCGCAAACTTGAAAAAAATGCACCAAGCTAAATTTGAGTCATTGAATCTAAATATGGAAAAAATTGGCATGTCATGTCAGAAAGAATCCGACTTTGTATCAAAATACCTATATTAGAACAATGCTATATATTAAATCCTAAGTCGCGTTTTCGTCACCTCCAAAGCGTAATTTGAATTTCGGTAATTGGCCCAGTAGAATGGAAGATATAGAATTGTCCTCTCTTTTTTAGTCCAAACGAGCTTTTTGTCCCTGAAGGACTATTGTTTTCATTTTGTGAATTTGCGTTGGAACACTATAAATGGTATATCCCTTTTCAAATCATTGCCACCAAATACTATCATTCTGTATTATATTTGAAAACATTAAATAATGAAGAATCTGCATAAATGTATGTGTTTCTCACATTGTGATAAAACAATGGTACTTAGAAGAGCAAGCCAACTTTCATTGACGTAATTCTACTGCGAATATGGGCATCTGAAAGCCCCAATTTGAAATTTCGAATTTGTTTAATTATCGATTTCATATTTTGTAAAACTTGAACAAATTTTTGATTAACAAACTCAGCGATTTAAAAGCAAGCAACGGCAACAGTCTACGGAGAAAAGAAACCTTTTCATCTCCAGCGCGCGGAACTGTGTATCGGAAATTCTAAAGATATGCTCATTTTAAAATTATTCTGCGAAATTATTGTTGAACTGAATTTTATGGTTTAAATGCAAAAGAACATGATATTTAATATATAAAGGTAACACACAAAACGTTAAAGAAACGGCCCTTTGGACATAATTTAAAGTCTGAAACTTTTCAGAAATCTCCCCCCCCCCACACGCTGTGTTGTCTACAGAAGAGCAAGGCATACATTGTTATGATTCTTATTGTACAGGCATGCAGCTGCAGTGGTGCACTGAATGCCAGACATGGACAAGAAAAACCAACATTGTCTTTTCAAAAAGGACCAAAAAGGACCAACATTGTCTTTTCAGATGAATCTTGAGTCTTGAATAAGATAACATTGGTTTTTATCCAAGTTTGGTGGAATTACAGTAACCAGCATTATACACTGTCATACCAGTCCATCACTTGGAGTCAAGATTTGGGGTGCCATTGCAATTTACTCCTATACCAGCCTAAAATGCATCAACTATTATCTTTAATATTTGTTACCTACATTTCTAAAGTTTTAAAATCTATTGTCCTCAAGTCATTTAACTGGAAGACTTGCCTGTTGCCAAGTTTCAGCATGGTAAATGCACAATTTCACATGGCATGCAAAATATATTAATAACTCTTCATTGAGCATCAGGTCAATATTACAATCTTGTCTTTTTTCTCCTGACGACACCCACAGAGAATGTCTGAATAAGGACAGGCAAATGAAGGGCCTAGCATTCTCCAACTACATCTATGGCAGATAAACATTGGCAACATGTGAAATGATGTAACCCATGAATATATCCAAAGCCTTTTTCTTTTATTGTTACGGCATATCAAAAGTTATTGCTATCCATAGCAGTTACACAAATACTGATTTCTTTGCATTCTGTTAGTTGAATTATTTTAAACAACTAACCCTTATAGCATTTGGCTTGGACACCTCTTTTGCTCTTCATGGTGTTGCATGAAGTGGCAACATATTTCTAATTTTATTTCAATTATTAGTTCAAATTTATTTACAGTACTTTAGATGTCAAATGCTTCATGTATCAACAGATTAATTTTATATAAAAAAATTAGAAACATCATTGTATCTACCTTTGATCAAATGTCCAACTAGAGCAAAATGAAAGTTTGATTTGAAACTCAGCCCAACTGAGTGATCCAGCTGCTTAAAATGCCACTCTAAAGGTTCTCTGCTGGACATCATAATATATTCCAGTGTCTAAAAATTTAAAAATCAAACATTATATTCATAAATTTTATTCACAAAAATTGAAAACATTCATGAAATAATATACATAACTGGGCCATGGAAATCATCTCTTTTTATATGGATGATGATAGCGAATGAAATTTAAATTATGTATGAAAAAATAGTACACAAATCTATCTGGACTATGCAAATCAGCCCTTATTTATATAATAAAAATAGTGGCTCAGTTTTCAGATAATATAAATTTCCTGATATTTATGTTTCAGAAATTTTAAATACATGACTTAATACTGCAATTATATACTTTTTATTGATTTGAGTAGCATTATCAGCTGTCTTATATTATAAGGTATTTCTCCCACTTTCCTAGCGTGCCTTCGTGGTGTAGTGGTCAGCACACTGAACCGGTATTTCAGATATCTGTGGTTTGATTCCCGGGCAAAGATGATTACTATTTTTCCTCTTGCCGGTTTTTTCAAAAAATCCTAATGTCTCTACAATATATTTAACTGGTTTTAAGCAAATGTGTACACATTTGATTATGGAAAAAAACAAAACAAATTCTGTCTGAGGAAGATATCACTGCACAGAACTTAGAGAATAATTGTTTTTATTTAGTTTAATAAGTTTTTAATTTATGACAAGTAAAACCAGCCTTTTTATTGGAATCTTAATATTTTCATGGTGAATGTTTTTTCATTTGCCCCCTCTCGCTGCATAATTTTTGTTAATAGGTTCAACAATTGCATATTTTTATTACATATCTTAAACCTACATATTTTAGAGCTAAAATATGCAAAATTTTTTGTGAAAGAGATTTTTTTAATATATATAAAAATAAAACAGACACACACACACACACACACACAAAAAAAAAAAAAAAAAAAAAAAAAAAAAAAAAAAAAAAAAGGAATTTCTGCGAAATCATGGGTTGCACAAATTTTGCTACTTCTTTGTTGCCTGTGGAAATTTGGATTTATGCAGCAAGAGAGTTAATCGTAAAGCTTTTAGTACATGTGAATATTTGATGTTTAAAGATTAAAAAAAAAAATCTACTTTTTCTTCACTTTTCAAGCCTTCCTCTCACAAGAAAAACATTATTTACAGATGTGCCAACCAAACAAAATGAAGAATCAGAGATTTTTTTTTCCATGACAAAAATAATTTTAACACAGTAAAAAAAATATACAAAAGGAAATTTTTTAATAAAAACTATAAATACTTTCAATTTGCACATGCAACTGAAATCAACATGTTCTAAAGGTAATATGAACAGAAATACTCATGTATTAAAAAGTACTTTTATTATTGGAAGTAGCATATTCTGTTTTCTTTGAGAATCATAATCATAATCTTATGGAAACTGCAACATAGGCCTGTTTCTGCTATAAAATGGTTTTCAAGTATGTCAGCATTCAGACTAGATCTAAATTTACTTTTAGTAATTCAAACTTAATTAGTTTGTTTTAATATTGTTACGAAATGTCCAGGCATGGTAAGATGGCTTCCCCGCAAAGCAGTTTTAGGGTTGCCAGATTTTCACATAATTACACACAATTATTACTATAATTTAATAATAAGACAAAACAAAGTTTAGTTTTACAAAATTTAGGGAAAAAAAAAGAAAGAGGTTAGTTTTACAAATTATGTCTTTAAACAAATTACTAACACTGAATGAAATACATAAAATAATGGAATTCTTTGTTTCAGAACTATACTAGGAATGAATCATGGCACAGTAGAAAGTATAAAAGATAGCAGTAAAAAGAAACAGAGAAAAGCAGCAAAAAGTAGTAAAAAGCTCTAGTTTGAAGATGGAAACATACATAATAATTCATGAGAAAAACTTATAATAACTGGCAATATGTTTCTCTTGTTGAATATTTAAAAAAAATATTTTAACTTTTAATTCTGAGAGACCTCTAAAGCAGCTCTATGTACTTTTTGTTGCATTTTTCTGAGACCTGCTAATTAAACTCTTTACTATTGACGAAGTTACTTTATTATTCTCAGACTTATTTTTAACAATAGAAGTAGGAGCCATATCTTAATTTACTTTAGGTATTTTATGAATTTCTATAGAACCTTTAACCCTAGAAACACTTCTTCTTCAAAAACTATAAGAAGTGGGCTTCATTACTAAATGAATAAATACTTCTGAAAAGATAACCAATTCATACATACGTTTCAAAATTTTCTTATTTCAGTATTATGAAGTTGTTAGAATTGTTTCAATCTTTTACTGATTTCAAAACTCTTTTGATCATAGTATTAAACAATCACAACAAATTCCTTTATATTTATTGGTTAAGGAGTTTCATCTGCAAATCTGAGACTTCTTTTCTCAAGACATTTGTAGCACAAGTCTTGGAGCCTTGTCTGCATCCAGAGATAAAACAGTTCAGTCAGAGAAATTTCATTTTGCATTAAAGTTTTAATAATCAGCTCTGTTAAAGGCTGTCAGATATCCTTCCAAAGTGGGGTCACGAAGTAAATAACACTTAACTGCTGAAGCCACAGAATTTAGGGCAACAGGCACTGGATACAGTTTTTTGCTTCTGTATCTAGTATCATTACATCCATCCACAAAAAGATGCTATTTTAATGCAATTAGCAAATGAAGAATTATTTGTTGATGAAACACTTTCACATCTGAAAATTTTTAAATAATGAAAATAGCCAAATATTAAGGCAAACTTTTAAAAATCACCAGAAATTATAGGATTAAGAGAAACCTGGGCGAAATAAATCAAGTTGGTGGGAGTGGTATTAAAAATCAGGAATCTTTTGCCTAAATCAGAACTGGCATGCCTGTATTAATAGTCCTTATCACAATCATTTTCATAGTTATTCAGTACAGATGCAAATTTATCCACAGAATTTGGCAAATTTAAGAAATGAATTAAATTACAAATTGATAACACCCCCACTCTCCCCCCAAAAAAGGCGTGAAGGACATTTAATAAAATTTTTTCTCCCTTCCCAACTTTCTTACAAAATGGAAAAATAACAGCAGAAAATGAAGCATATTTAAAATTATTTTTATTCTCTAGATTCATAATCAAAGTAAAAAGAAAAAGTTTTAGCTTTATTTAGCAAATCTGCCAAAAACAATAACTTACCTTATTTCATAATGATTTACTAAATTTCATAAATAAAAAAATAATTTGAGGAAAATTAATTCTTTCAATAAAGGCTAAAATATTTCAAATCCTGATGTTAGAAAACTCATGAAAACATTAAAAAAAACCCAAGAAATATTAATCTGGCTGTTTAAACCATTTGCCACTGGATAGTCAAATTTTCTTTTGGGGGAGGATCATAAGTACCATTCTTTAGACATAATTAATCAAGGTTGATAGAACTCAAAAATGCCTTTATTAACAACAAAAATTAACCCTCTGAGCGCCATGAATGGCTTTATCCAGTTATCAGTTTTTTTTTTTTTTTGGCCACTTGGCATATATTAGTTTATACACTGGTCATAAAAATTAAAGGATAATGAAAAAAGTATGCTTTTTATGTTAATGTTGCAACCGATGGCCAAAACTTAATCATTTATGTTAATTAAATAGAATTGAACCCAAAACTGCAATTCCGTGTACACATTAGTGATGAAAATTCAGCAATTGACAATATGGTGCGCAATGGACGCATGTTGAAATTCCGGTCTGTAGTGTTATTTAAAAGGGATGTGGTTTCTGAGAGTAATCAGTATTCAGTAGTTATGGCTCAAAGTCTTCATTTAAGTGAAGGTCAAAAGTAGTGAATAATTGGTAGAATCGAGAGAGATTAAACATAAATGGAGGTGGCTCAAGATTTGAATATCCTTCAAGGTGTCATATCAAAAGCTGGAGCCACTTTTTAAGCACTGGATCAGTTGACAGATAGCTTGGTCAAGGGCAACAGCTACATCGGAAGATCATTTTCTGTCATTGCTGGTTTGAAGAAACCATTAAGTGATTACAAGAGATTTGCTTTTAGACCTTTAGGCAGCCATGGAACTCAAATTTGTTGTTCTAATGCTGTACAAAGGCTAAATGAGCAAGGAAACCAATGAATTTCAACCCACTCACTCCAGCTTCCAGAGGGGCCCGTTTACACTGGTGCCATTATCATATTCAATGGAGCCAAGACAAGTGGGCCTAAGTATTGTTTATTGATGAGCCCAGATATAGTCTTAACAGTGATTGTAGACGTGTTTCGATCTGGAGAGAGGAAGGAGCATGCAACTCACCTTCCCTTGTCCATGAAATATTCCATTTCTGTGACCACAGTTTAATGTTTTGGGGATAAATCATGACAAATGCTCACATCCAGCTGCATATCTTACAAAGAAGTTCTGTAACCACTTGGAGATATCTAGACAAAGTACTGGAACCCCAAGTTAGAATATTTAGAGGAGTTGTTAGCCCAGAGTATTTTGTAATGGCTGACAATGCTTTGCCTCATCAAGCATATGTGGAATTAGAATGCTTGCAAACAGAAGATACCACTAGAAAGGACTGGCCAGCTTACTCACCTGACTGAGCATGTGTGGAATACCTTAGGGTTCCGAATTTCAGCCAGCAAAATTCCTCCCTGGATCCTTCAGGAGCTGAAAAAGGCATTCTTAGAAGAATGGTGTGCAATGCCACAAGACTTGATTAACACTTTGATAAAATCTATGAAATCAACATGTGAGGTATACATATCTGTCCAAGGTGACCATACAACATATTAACCTTTTCGTCGTCCATAATGAGTCTAGTGCGTTCAAATGAAACTTCTGCAGGGCGGCCATAATGCACTTCAACCATTTTTCTACATTTTAAAAGTTTTAAACGTTTAAGACGCTTTGTAAATGTTTACTTGTTTGAGTTTTTATTTTTGTTTATTCTAATACCTCCTAGAGGGCAGCACTAATCAAGCATTCTATTTCAAATTTAATTTCCACCAGATTTTATGAATATTTGGTCAATTTTGCATAAGATACATGACAGTGGAAGACGGCTTCAATGTCTACTTGGCAGAAAAATAGAAGAAATGAGGAGTTATGTCTTTTAGATTATAATGATGGTGATTTATCAGATTCAGATAATGATGAATTTTCAATTACATCACCAGAAAATGAAAATGAACAATATAATCTAGCTGATGCTAGAACAGGGACTGGATTTTGAATACGATGTCTTCTCCACCTAGATTTTCCTTCCTTGGAAAATCCACAATAACTCAAAATGTTCTACAAAATGATCCTTCAATGCCTGGTTTTTTAAAATTATATTTCGATAAGAATCTGATAAATATTATCATCGAAGAAACAAATTATCACAATCAGCAGTTTATTAGCAGCAACATTCTAAAAGAAAATTCTCATGTACACAAGTGGAAGGATACAGATGGAGGAAGAAATAAGGGTATTTTTGAGTTTGATTTTATTACAAGGCATTGTACAAAAACCTGCAGTTAAAAGTGGTACTAGTCCAAAATACAATTTATTGAGACATCAGTTATCTCCAAATAGTACAGAGGAAACAACACTGTATGCAGCCAAAAAAAGAGGACCACTGGAGAGAAATTTTTGTGGACAAGAGAGGACAGCGAAAGGGTTAAAGAAAAAAAATTCAATGAGAGGTGACTTAGAGGGTTAAATGAAACCTTAGACCTCTTCAACCCTTTAAAATTTGCTAAATAACAAATGTTATACTTACATTATTCTCAAAAATTCCCTGAGAATCAAGGGTGTGTAAATTTTGTTCTAACAGTGCCAAACCTGCAGCATACAAAGCCATATCATCTAACTGCAATACAGATATAGATACCCAAAAGAGAGCTCTGTGTATGGGCGATTCCTTGGAGAGGAAAACATACATTAGTATATTTCAATTAAAATAAAATACAAGTGTTAAGATTCTTTATAAAATATCATAGAAATATTAAAATCATATAAACATAGAATGAATAACGAACACACTTCACAGTAATGTAAAAATCAATCTTCACTCTTATAATTCAACAACATAGCTAATGACTACTGTAAAATAATTACGTGTGATTGGAATTCTTTTCATATATTCTCAGTTACCACAAAGTTATCTCAATTTCAATTTAGGTATTTAATTACGGAAAAGATATATACAAGACATCAAATACAAACTAATTAAAAATTTTGCAATAGACCTTTTATTTCACACTTTAATTTGGGCCCTTCCCTTTTCTTCAATTTCTGTTCAAAAAATAATAACTACAGTCAAAAGTCGTTAATCCGGACTCGTTGGGACTTCGGCGATTCCGGATTATCGTTTTTTCCGGATTATAGATCATCAGTTTTTAATCTCGTAAGATGGCATGCAGAAATTCTAAATTAAAAATATGAAAACCGTAATTTAAGAAATAAAAAACAATTATGAGCTAAAGAGTACCAAAATTTACAAAAAACAAAAAAAAAAAAAAAAAAAAAAAAAAAAAGCTTCATATTTATTTGTTTCACTTATTAAAACATTTCTTTCAATGTAAGTTTGTTTAAGTTGCTTCATTTTATGTGATAATACTTTCTCTTAATTCTATAAACAGACATAATTTCTTGTTCAGTTACAAAGTTCAGCTGTTCAAGTCCCATTAATTGCTGTGCCTAGAATACCGACTAACTTGTCAATCGAAATTTTTTCGTTTTTCACTAACCTCTCTGTCACATTCTTCATGTCTTTATCCATTTTTTGCAGTAATTCCACTTTTTGTTTGGTGGACATTGAAAAACATACTTTCGTTTTGTAGATCCTTTGAAAGTTCCAGCATCGGAATTCTATTTGACATAATCGAAAGTTCAAGTTTACTTTTATAAAATTGCTCTTATAGTCTGCAAAAAAATAATAAGCAGGATCCAATTCGAAGATTAAGGAACAAACGCAATCATTAACATAACTGAAATAGATAATTAGATAATTCTAGCTTACACCGTCCGTTATACATTTAAACGCGCAGGCGGAAAACGTATTCTGCGCTTGCGACACACATATGAGCAGTAGTCAAGGTCTTACGCACACGCGTAAAACGCCTGTGCGCATGTGCCAGAACGGCGCATGCGCAGAAAGTTTTTAGCTTTGAAGTCCGGATTATAGATCATTCCGGATTATGGGTGTCCGAATTAATGACTTTTGACTGTATTTATAACACATTAATCTAAACTGCGTCATTTCAAAAGTAACCCCTGCGATGCAGACACCTATTATCTAATCATAGATCAATCTTTATAACAGATCAATTTATTAAGAGCTAAAATGCTTTGACTCTCCCGTGCTTCTGCTGAATGTGCAGTCACTTTCCTTGCTAACAAGTTTCCTTCCTAGCTTCTGACTATCATCCACTGTCTTAAGATAAGCCTTCAAAGAATTACGGGGTGTATGTTGCATCCTTAATGATGTGCAAATAAGATTATCCGTCAAAAGAATAGTATTATCAAGAAATAAAATTATGTGTATTTACGGCTACATATGTCTACAAGTGCAATTATTCTGTCTATGCAATAAACCACCTCCAACGTATTACAGCTATCTACCAAGTCTATTACATACATGCCTTAAAAGCAAAGCTTTTAAGAAAGATTTTATAAAGTAGTCAATTAGCATTTATATCACATGCAGCGAAAACCATGAAAATATCTAGGCAAACAGTCCAGTAGACTGCCAGACATAAAAGCTAGGTTGATGTGGCCAATGTTCTGCAATTTTACTTCTTCTGCCCTAGGTGGAACCTTTATTCACCCAGGGCTCAATAACAGCGAAGCTTACAAGAGCATTCTGCCTATGGGGAGTTTTACAAGCATTCTCTAAATGAAAGTTACCCCATACATGATAAGCAGCTCATACACTTAGCTTTTGTATCTACTACAGTCAAAAGTCGTTAATTCGGACACCCATAATTCGGAATGATCTATAATCCGGACATCAAAACTAAAAACTTTCTGCGCATAACGTGCGCGTAAGAACTTTTACGACTGTGCATATGAGTGTGCGCAAGTGCAGAATACATTTTCGCGTGTGTATTTTATGTATAATGGACGTATAAGCTAAAATGATCTAATTATCTATTTCAGGTAATGTTGATGATTGGTGTTCCTTAATTTTCGAATTGCATTCGGCTTATTATTTTTTGCAGGACTGTAAGAGCAATTTTAAAAGTAAGCTTAAACTTTCGATTATATCAAATAGAATTTCCGATATATATTTGTTAATATGTAAAGGATCTAAAGCGAAAGTATGTTTGAAATCCGAAATCTGTTTATCAATTTCACGCTGCTCGGGGCGGGCGCCTAATGGAATTGGAAGTTGATTTGTCAGCACTATCCTTATCTCAGCGCAGATGTTTTATTTTATTGGCTTATAATTCCTTACCAAATGTAGTATTTCATCTCGATATGCTCCAGTCTTTGATATGATTTAAAAACAAGTTCCTCGTCATTATAATTCGCTTCCATAGCGAAGAAAAAGTGACAGAGGTATTGAAAACAAAAAAATTTCGATTCAAAATTAGTTGGTGTTCTTGACACAGCAATTATAGGACTTGAACGGCGGAACTTGTAACTGAACAAGAAATTATGTCTGTTTAATAGAATTAAAGAGAAAGTATTATCACATGAAACGAAGCAAAAACGTAAACAACTTACATTGAAAGAAATGTTTAATAAAGTAAACAAATAAATATTAAGCTTTTTCTTTTGCAAATTTTGATACCCTTTAGATCATAATTGTTCTTTATTTCATAAATTACGGTTTCATATTTTTTATTTAGAATTTTGCATGCCATCTTACGAGATTTAAACTGATGATCTATAATCCGGAAAAAATCGATAATCCGGAATCGCCGAAGTCCCGACGAGTCCGGATAACGACTTTTGACTGTATATGGTAAATTACTATTGTTTTAAAGATCTAAACACTTAGGCGCAGGTTAGTCTCAACACCGTATAATAAAACTACTAGTACACTGTTTTTAATAATTTAGATGTGGCTGGGGTTATGTATGTTAAATAACGTATTAAATCTCAGTTATCCTCTGAAACATAAAGCATATATTTCCCCAGAGAAAACTGCTTATAAAGAGTGTTCAATTACTTTTATATCTCATTTATGTTAACATTTTAAATTGAACTAAAAGAAAGACCATGAATTCATTAACATTCACAGAGTACTTTTAAATCAAATATTCAAACCTTTGGAATTCATGAAGAAATGTTTTTAATCCAGACAAATATCAGATATAATCCAAACATATTTTTCTTGGCACATAAAATATGTATCATAATGCATCACCAATATCTGTATGTCTTTTGTCATAAAACTTGCAGCTTAAATAATAACCTAATAACCAAATCCAACTCATAACTTATCAGAATTCCCTAAGGACATCTGTACATCTTTTTTAAACTTCTGATATCATTTACACAAAGCACTACCACTTATACAGGCTCTTTTCCAAACATTAAAGTATTTGCAATAAATTTCAGCTGCATTCTGACAAATTTGAACAAATCTAATAACAGAATGAACATTGGAACTGGCTAAACTACTGATTTTAGTAGAAATCTTCACACACATGCTATACAAAACAGGAATGGGTGAAATGCAGAACTCCTATAACAAACAGCATTAAGGCAATACGTAACAGCCTTTTCTATATTAACTTTTCCTTCATTCCAATCGTTATTTACAAGTTCTTTGGAATTTTATTAAAACATACCCCTTCAACCTTTGAATTAAATCATAACAACATAATAAGTATTTTGACAGTGGTAAGCTGTAATTTCGGTGATACTTTGTAATGTCTTTTAGTTTTTAAATTAAAAAGTTTTTTTTTTTTTCTTTTGAGAGGGGGGTTTATGCATTGTATTTTCTGCTTTTGCAAAAGTAAAATATTAAATTAGAATTTAATATTTTGTCTTTATAAAATTTTTATAAGATTGCACGAGCAATTTATTCTCCAAAATAAATGCATGTGGAGAAAAATTGACCCGTAATTCAAGCTTTATCAAATGAAACAGAGTGGTTATTTATAGGGGCAAAAATCTTTCTATGCATAAATATGATAGTAAATTCAAATTCAGGAAACATATATGTGTATATTCAGGAAACATATAGCTGGCTGTTATAATCTTTGACACGGATCAAAATTCTGGAGAAGATACGGATATTTGTATATATATATATTGTTTCTTTGTGGCATGACAGCACTTAATATTATCCACAACGGGATGCACATACGCATTCCCACTACAAACACACAGGCATTCTGTAAGCTCATGGTCAAACAGAACCCTCTCCGGCAGATCATCAAAAATTATGAGAAGCTAGCCATCTTGGCACGAAACTCTGCACAGCAGAATAAATGACCCGGAGTGACCATTACAGCAGGAAGTATCCTCTTTTAATGGCAAACAATGAATACTAATCGTTAGCACTTTACAGACTATCCCTACATTTGTCTTTAATTATTTACGCAAATACAACATTTACTGCCAAGGTATACAAATTGTTTGTATCAATCATTCATTTTCAATAATATACTCACGTATTTGAATTAGTGTTGTTTCGGGTTCTCTAGATCATGGTGGACGTGGTGCTATACTAATTAACCGTATGATAGAGGCATAGTGCCCATGTCCCCCATTCCTTATCCTTATCCTTATCCTTAATATTATCCAGCCAAAAGTGCTCCTGAGAGGTTGGATGAAAAGAAGAGCGATAAGAGACAATGGGATGTCTAACCACAGAATTCTCTTTCAAAATTAGAATGGAACTGAGCAAATTTGTCCTGTCATCTTCCTTGGCTACAATAAAATTTGTGGACTTGATCTCAT